ATTAAACTTTCATAAAACAAGTTACTCAGCTATCAAGTAATATTTGAATGTATTAAATCAGCAATAGCTTTTTGTCTAAGGGTATATAATTTTTTCACCCATTTATCAAATCTTGCTTCTTGATCAATCATTATCTGAAAGAAATATAGTTAGAAATAACATGTATATTAGATGTATATCTACACATTTATATTAGTACATATAGAAAAAGAAAAAATACATTACAGATGAATGAAAAATACTCTCTGATCCACAAGGAACTTCAGCTACTGTTGGAACTTGTATAGTATCTGCACTAATATCTATAACAATGTTCTTGAATTTCTTTTCCTTTGTACTAGATGATGAAAATTGTTTGGGTGTAAAGCCTTCAGAATTAATTTCTTCTAGTACACCCTCTTTAAAACGTGGTTCAATTGGAAAATCATCTATAAAAAATAATTTTATGCTGCATTTTTAATTAATTTAAAAAAATCATATTGATATTACATTCATTTTTCTAATAAAAATTAATACTCTAATCGTACCCTTTATTAAAACATTTTTGTTCTTTTCAGACACAGTGGTTTTTACATTAGACTGTGAACTACTTGAACGACTTCCAGACTTTTCTCTTGAAGTAGATCTAACTTTTCTCTTTGAATGATCTAAAGAACGTGATCTAGAGCGATATCTATGCCTTTCTCTCCCTTTTGAGCTGCTATTTCTGGAGCTTTTATAACTCTTTTGACTGCGATCTCTATCCCTGCCTCTGCTTCGAGAATGTGAACGATGTCTCCGCTTTGTTTTTGAATGTTTAGACGATCTTCGTCTATGAGGAGATGATTCACTAGAATCTGAACTAGATGATCTACAATTAAAAATTTGATATTTTAAACTATTGTTTGTAACTTTTAATTTAATATTGGATATATTGTTGCAAGTTATAATTTTTCACACAGATTTACAATGAAACAACTGTATTATTGTAAAAAAGTATACATATACATCAAATTAAGTATATCATATATTACACAAAATAAATTTTAATGTTTTGAAACTAGTATTTACCTGGATCTCCTGTTGCGTTTCCTACGATATCTACTATTATGATCTGAATCCGATTCACTAGAATATCTTGCCATAACTGTCAATGGGTATTTTGTTTATTTCACGTTTAGGTTAGGCTCCATATTACTGTGATAAAGAATATGCAACACAAGAATCTATGAGACTCAGAAGTTGTCAGTATATATAGTTACGTGGATACTTAGGGAATTTAGACAGGGTTGTCACCGATGGAGCGCTAAGCACTCTGCTCGTGGTTGTATAATATATTTAAAATGAATAAGAAAATCTAAATGTTAAATCTTTTATAGGACAATAAATAAACTGAATAACAATGAGAACATAATAATAAGAATAACTTAATAACGATATATTTTACTGTTTTACTATTTTCTTTTATTGCAAAATATTGCGTCTAGATTCATTTGAGCGAAGAAAAAGAAATCAATGTTGAACCGTCGTCGATATTTATTACTCAATGTTAATATATTTTTGTTAAATAATAAAGTCCAATTAAATTAATGATTCTATGTACAATTAGTTAGGAATAAATTTGATTGGTACCCTGCATTTGTTCATTAATGTTTCTTTTATAGCAAGTGTTTTACACTTCAGCAATGTTTATTTGCATAACAACAAGGATAAATATTTATTTAAACAAGAAGTTGCAAATTATCGAATTTCTTTGTTTATTGCTTTGACCACACCGCTCTACAATTTATATTCAGCGCTTTTTAGAATGCACACTACTCAGAACCACATGAGCCACACATCATCTCTACTAGGGACTTTATTATAAATAAAATAAACATACTTTAAACATTAGTTTT